TTTTCTCCTCCCCTTTTGTGTAATAATATTTATGTAAATGTGTAAATTCAGATCGATGAGACTTTATTATTCGATATATACAGTGCTTGTAGCGAACTCCTACATCTTTGGGAGCGCTGGCGCCCGATCCAGCGGACAGTTCCGTGGAGGCACTCCCCAGCACCGACGCTCCCTCCCTCGGCCCCGCGCCGCCGACGTCATCCCTCCGGCCCCCACGCCCGCATGCGAGCTCGCCGGCCATGGCGGATCCGGTGCCGGCCATGGCGGATCCATCGAGGTAGGTCTTCTTCTCCTCCTCCTCTTTCTAGATCTGTGCTGACCAGAGACAAAGACGACAACGGCGGTGGCTTGGGTTCCGACGAGCCACTTCCTCAAATTTTGTCCTTTTCCTTTTATAGAAAGGAATTGTTTCTTGTGATTTGTGATTTGTGCCGATACAACCGTGCTCTTTGTTACTTGTGATTTGTGCCGACATAGCCACAGCCAAGGGTGGGCGGTGGACGGCAGTGGCAGCGGGGGCCAAGGTCTGAAGGTAGAGGAAGGCCGTAGGTAGATAAATGCTGGAGCCTGTTGGATCTTCATCCTACGTTAAAAAAAAAATCATGTGTTAACACACAGTTGTACAGGCTCTTATTTGTCGGATGAGTATTCACTCTGCTACTCCGAAAATCTTGGATTTAGCTGATCTTTTCTTTTGTGTCAGCGAGACAGCTACTACTGGATTTCAGTCCAATACCTGAGATCACATGACTAACTAATCCATCTTTTGTCCGCTGCAAATTTGTCCCATGCATACAAGTGGACCGACATGTATGTCCAGGCTCTAGCTCTAGTCACTCTATACAAAGTATGAACGGGGTCATTTTGTACGCGCAACCAGATTTTCAGTTCAATTTACCAATATTTTATCTGTCTCCTTTAGTCCTTTAATTTGGAGGAAGAAGATATTTTGAGCTACGGCTTTCAATTTGGCACATTTGCTGCCATGTTGCTCCCAACCACTCCCGTGGACGAAATAAAGAGCACATACAGAGTTTCAACGTTTCATTTTCTTGGCCAAAAATACCTCAGCCTCTTTCTCCTCCTGGCTCCAGTACGAGAGAATTCGATGCTATCCTGCCAAGCTAAATTCATAGAACAGGATTGCAAGTGTCTGCTGTGCATACAGAATTCCCAAAAGCAAGGGGCACAGAATAACGGGGGTAAAGCCAGCGGGTGGATGGACGTGATGACACTGGAATGGAATCAGAGTATCAGACTATCAGAGGCAAGAAGAAACATTGGCTCTCGTCGCTGCCGGTGATCAGTAATCAAACGGCAACTAATCGCTCGTTCTGCGGCAATCATGGACGTATGTTAGCGTTACATTACATAGTGTCGAATCTAATCGCGGATATGAACACACGCACATCTTTGAGCGGACAGCCATCCATCCAAAGTGGAAGGGGTCTACTGATTCGGATGGACCGCAATTCACAACAGGGCACTTTGGCTTAGTTTTGTTCTTGTCATTTTTTTATAATGGTTCTTGCCATTGTTACTTCCTAATTTAAAACAACAGCTTTCTGTTGTGTGTTACTGTACTTGTTCGGTTTTGACAGGTGCCAGGTTTTGCAAATTTCCGGAATGAGAAAACTTGCAATTCAGCGTCTTACTTATATGTTCTTTTTTCCCCCCACTTTAGACGCTTCTTTTACTGAAAAGCCAGTGCTTATCCATCTTCGGCCATTGCTCACTAGATAACCAGTCAGGCAGTCACCATGTTTTACTCCTATATTGGTGCATAGGAATCAGTTCCGCACTGCATCCTTCAACTTTAGCAGTTGTTCGTTTGTGTACAGGACAGAATATGAGCCCTCTGTGGTACAGACAGAACAATGTTTTGCTTTGTCGAGCAAACCGTCAGATAAGATAGCACTACAGGACTACTCCAGGCCACTGCTGGACACAGACGTGGTAAGTAAAGTTTCCTCAGTCTGCAACTCTGCATGATCAACGTTGTTGATGGTCTGATCAACGCAGCAGTCCATGATCAGGGTACGAGACGAGACAACCTAGTCAGTGTCAGGAACTCAGACTCACGTCTCAGGCTACAGTGATGAACTGAGTCACTGACCCATGTGCTTTGCAATGCTCGGCAGCCTGAGGGCGCCCTGTCCTTGACAGCCTCCGGTTCTCCGTTGATAGACCTAGGTGGTGCGTATCGCCGCCGCCGCCGCCAGAATGCAAGACCGGCCGGCGAGATGCACTGCAGGAGCCTGTGCCGCTTGCTCAGCCAACTGACGATCGGCCGGCGGTCAGCGGCGCCGCAGCACGGCCATCAAGATGCATGGAAGGCGTGGCCGGCCGGTGTGGCCTGGAGAGATTCGGGAGGCATGGGGCGGGCTCAGTTACGGGCTCTGGACGTGTTGGGCTGGTTGGTAGCCAATTACGAGGCCCGACTCAGACAACCGGTGGCAGCTTATTGGACCGGGCTGTGGCCTGGCTTCAGCTTGTTTCACCAGTCACCAGGCCCAGCGTCGTCCTGTGCACGTACGGGAAACGGACACTCGATCCAATTTGGTTGCCACGTGACGTCTCACGAGTCTCTTGTTTCCGGAAGCATACCATACATAGGCCGTGCGCATCAATCCGATCGCATCTGGCGCCGGCGGCGGACACATGGACGTGCGTCAACTCCCTCACCTTCGACTCCAGCAGGCGGTTCCTCGACTTCGTCCACAACGCCCTCGCCCAGCGCGCCAAGACGGATGCCGCCCTCGAGCTGAGCACCTGGCGATCTCGTTCGCCATCATGTCTCCTGCCGACGATCAGGCAACTAATTAAACCGCTGGTGCTACGGTCCACCGACGCCGCGCAAGAGTGGATTTGGTACGCGATACAAAAAATAGCGAAATCTTTGGCCCTTAAACTCCAGTTGTTTCCTATATGGAAACGGTACTGCCCTGAGACCAGATGCAACATCTGGGAGTGGCACGAGCAACCATGATGGATCTCATCAATCTTCCTAGTTCAGCAAAGCTGGAGACCATGCATTGGGAACAGCAAGGTGTAAGGCTCCAGCTCCCCGCCACTGCAGTGTTCACCTCGCTCGTGGATCTCTCACTTGAAGACATTGAGCTCGTTGCTGGCAGTGGCCACCTCCTTGCCCGCCTCCTGTCATCGGCATGCTGTCCGTCACTGCAGAAGCTACAGCTTAGGGAGCTTAGCCTCCCTGAACTGAATGAGCTACTTATCGAGGCTAGGGCACTCTTGGAGCTGTCAATGTCAAGCATGCCAAATGTAGGCCCTGCGACTCTGAAATTGAAAACTCCTAGCCTCCGGATTCTCGATATAGAGGACTATGACTACGACTACCTCAGGACACTTGGGATCTCCGCCCCTAGACTGGAGGAGCTCGCCTTCTCGCCTCATCAACTATCGACGTTGACGGTGAATTGCCATGCGTGAGGAGTCTCAAGGTTGGGTTGGACTCGCATGGAGAAGAAGATGAAGATGACGACATCAACAACAGCAGCATTTACCTTCTCCGGTGTTGTACGTCCCTCACATGCCTTGAGGTTTCTCTGAAAGTAGCAACGGTATGCATCCAAAGTACCACACCTTACACAAGTTTCAACTACTCCTTGAAAACCAAACTTGAAGTTTCATGTTTTCTTTTTCTTTTAAAAATGAGCTTGCAGTAACAAAATTTCAAAAGCAAATTAGACTGGTTTTATGAAAAAAAGTTAAACAAGAAATAACAAATGAAACCATGGTTTTGCATTGTTTCTAGTTGAACTATTTTTTTGGCATTCTCTATACTGTCGACAACCGGATACAGGAGGTTTGCCGAGTGCCAGGGGCACTCGGCGAAGCCCAAAAAACACTCGGCAAAGGTTTTGCCAAGTGTTACACTCGGCAAACGCTAGTTTGCTGAGTGTTTTTTGTCGGGCACTCGGCAAAGACGTTGCCGAGTGCCCAAAAAACACTCGACAAACTTTTTTTTTTCAAAAAATAAAATAAAAAAAGACACGCCGACACCACGCCCACACCACCAGCACCGCCGCTGCCATCCACGCCGCCGCCACCACGCCGGGGAAGAAGGGAGGGCCCCACCACGCCGCACCACCACCATCCACGCCGCCGCCACCACGCCGGGGAAGAAGGGAGGGCCCACCACGCCGCGCCACCACGCCCAGGCCGCCGCAACAGCCACGCCCGTCGCCGCCGGATCTGGAGGAGGGGAGGGCGGGGCCACGCCGGAGAGGGAGGAGGAGGGGGGCGCGCCGGATCCGGGAGAGGGCAGAGGAGGGGGGCGCGCTGGATCCGGGAGAGGGAGGAGGAGGGGGAAGGGCTGAGAGGGGGAGGAGAGGGAGGAGGAGGGGGGCGGATCCAGAGGGAGGAGGAGGGGGCGCACGGAGAGGGAGGAGGGGCCGGGCCGGGGTCGCGGAGAGGAGGAGGGCGGGCAAGGCCGGGATCCGGGAGGAGGAGGGGGTCGCGCCGAGAGAGAGGAGGGAGGGCGGGCCAGCCGGATCCGGGAGGAGGAGGAGGGGGCTGGAGAGAGAGGAGGGAGGGCGAGGAGGAGGAGGAGGGAGAGGGAGCCGGGAGGGAGGGAGGGAGGCGCTGCGCAGGGGGTGAGGGAGGGGGGGCAAAGTGAGGCAAGGTGGCTTTTATTTTCAGAATTTTTTTTTGCCGAGTGTTGTAGATCTAGCACTGCAAATGTTTTATTTTTATTTTTTTTCTCCTTCTTTTTAGAAAAAAGATTTTATTTATTTGCCGAGTGTTTTTTTGGACACTTGGCAAACCCGCTTCTTGCCGAAAGTGTTTTTTTACACTCAGCAAACCCCTGCTTTGCCGAAAGTGTTTTTAGCGCAAAGACTCGGCAAATCACTTATTCGCCGAAAGTGTCCGAGGGAATACACTCGATAAATATAAAAAACTCGGCAAATTTGAGGATTACGGTTGTTTAAACCAATTATTTGTCTATATGCTTTCTATACAGCCAGTGATAATAGATGTCATGTCTCCATCGGTCTATCCTTTGAAACACACACACACACACTGTTAGCAGCACACACTCTGGATGATAGAACACAGATCGATCCAACACAATCACAATAAGCACATGTACTATGATCCCATACAATATGAGATAGAATCTGGGAGAAGGTAGCAAGCAGGGGAATCGATGCTAGGAGGAAGATCCTAGAAGGTTCTAGAAGGTACTGGAAGCAGGGAATCTAGATACAAGAGTGAGAGGCTTCGAAAGGAAGAAGAACAGTAGAAGGTAGAATGAGATGGAAGTCTTCTGAATAATTCTTCGATGCCCTTCCTCTTGCCATCCTGGCCCTTTGTACTGGCTTGGCCTTGCCTTTGCTTCTGTCTGACAGTCCGGCCCCACATGGCAGTCCATCCTACACATATCCCTGACATTCCCCCCTTCTTAAAATTCGGCTTGCCCCCAAGCCGATGGAGAAGTTCGGAACCACCGGGATCCCAAGGAAACTGCAGAAACTCTTCTTCTGAATATGTCGAGCTGAAGCAATCAACATTGCACTGCACTTCCTTGTTGGTAGTCAAGAAGCCCATATCAAGCAATATAAATTCCCTGCAGAAGACCTTGCACTTGATACATGGTGTTGCAACTGGAAAGTTCTGTCCGGTCACTTCAAGCAAGAAACACCGACAATTGCCACCACACTTCCGCTGTACTCGCTGTTGAATCAGTGCACAGCCAGCCATACTCACTGATAGCAAGAGCTGCAAACCACCAGGATCCCATGGCACTAATCTGAACAAGTCAACTTGAGCAAGGAAAATGGAGATCCAGCGTTCCCAAGCCCAATTCAGAATCTCTGGGAAACTAATCAAGTGGTTACCCGATGCCTCCATAGTGAAAATGTGCAGTAACACCATAACAGTAGTTCTCATCATCTTTTCTATCTCAAAACCGAACTGAAACTCCTCATGAGCAAGAGAATTAATTGCAAGTAGCAGCCACATGGCGCCAATTGGTGGTGCTTGTACAGTTGTGGTGAACTGATGCAATAACATAATGTTGCTATTGAATTTGTACACTGGAACCGATACTTCGAGCTTGAGATGATTACCACACTTCAGACTTACCAATATGGAATTAGGAGCAGAAGGAAGAAAGTGTACAGAAGCATACTTGATTAGTTGCATGGGTATAGAACGAAGCTCGAAAGTAAGCATATGCATGTTACTGTACCCCACCAGATTCAGAACCAAACCCGAACCGAGCAATTGGCGCTCCTTTTTAACTGGCCAAATAGAGCTCAACAGTAGGAAACATCTAGGGAACCTGCACCAACCTAATATGCCAACCAAAGTAACAGGGCCATCCAAAACCAGCATGTTTGCTGAATGTCCGAAGATTGACAGAAGGAGCACCATAGAGCTGATAGGTCTCATCTCTGCAAGTAGTCCCCAACAACTGATGCCAAACACATGAAATAGAGAGTGAGAATCAAACTGTGTGAGCCCACCACGCTTCAGCTGTACAGAATACGTTGGGATCACTAATGCAGGTAGCTGCCATGGTGGCTTCCAGAGAAAATGAAAACACAGCCAATGAGGAAGCCAAGCCACTACTGGGAAGAGACAAAGCATTGCTCCAATTCCAATACGGACGCCTTGTAGAGATGGAAGAGGCCATGGTGGTTTCCAACAAACAGCCTGACTCACGGAACAGCAGTTGCCCAAGGTGAAAGATGGCCAGGGAAGTGGACGTACATCAGCACTGCCGCACCCAAACTCAACTTGCACATGTGTTGGTGGGCATGGTTGGTGTTGATTGACTCCCAGTGACATACGACTCGGCAGCTCGAAGCCAATGCAGATGTTGCAGAAGATGTCTGCATGCAGTGACCATTCCTCGAACACCTGGCGTGCACCCGAGCTAGCATGCTCCAGAGATATCGAACTCAACATGGCAGGGCTTGGAGTTGAGGCACCTGGAAGTGTAGATGTCGTTGATGACGTTGGAGTAGCTTCAGCAACGTGTGTCGACCAAGTCATCCCATGGGACCCTTTCGCGGCCATGGCTGGCGGGAGGCCGCCGAGGACGTCGCCGAGGCCGCCGGTCGTGCTCCAGCGGAGCATCTCCTCCTCCCAGAGCGCGCCGATGGGGACGTCGGCGAAGCTGCTGTCGACGGCCGAGCAAATCGTCGAACATGTGGCCTGCGTTGACCTCGCAGCCATCACCCAAGCCAGCAGCCCACCACCTGCAGCCCCCACGGCATCGGGGCGGAGCGTGGCAGCCGCGGGGGGTACCTGGCCATCACGACCGACGGCTCGGTCGAGCGGCGCGTCGAAGTGGGTGACGCCGGACTCCGGGTCGTCGTCGAGGGAGCCATAGTAGCCACCGAGTGGGGTGGCACGGAGCACACACATGACGGGGCCGAGGCAGACGCAGTGGAGAAGGCCGGGGTCATCGTGGAGCCGCTGTATGTTCACGCCGACGAAGACGCGGCCGCTGGCACCCATCCCCTCGGCGCGGATGATGGGGCGCCGCTCCTGCTTGGTGCATGCGACGAGGAAGAAGGGCTGCGCCTCCATCTGCACCAGCGACACGGATGGGGAGGCGCAGAGAGAGGCCTCCAGCGGCGGGAAAGCACCGCCGCGCGCGGCATCCTTGATGGGGAGGCGAGAGACGATGTCGCGGAGGAGCACATCTGGAAGGAGGCTGAGGCGGTCGAGGTCGACGATGTCGTCGAGCGCGGCGGCTAGGCGGTGAGGACTCTCCGCGGCGTCGAGCATTGGAGCGGGCTCGTGGACGATGTCGAGTAGCGCGACGGGGACGGTGGAGGTGAGGCCGTGCTCGTTACGGATCTGGGCGGAGCCGAAGACATCGATGGCGGAGAGGTCGAGGTCGCGCTCCTCCGGGTCGTGGGCAGGCTGCTCGAACAGCCCTCCCCAGTTGTCCGGGACCACCTCGGCGTCGGACGCGAGCTCGAGGGAGATGTCGGCGACGCTAGCAGTGTCGGGGATGGTGCACGCGGACGCTCCAACGTCGACGCCGTCCAGAAGGTCGGAGGGCGGAGCGGGCACTGAGTTCTGCGCCGTCGGCGGTGGAGGCGCGGTCGTGTCGGAGGAAGCCAGCTCGCAGACTCGCTCCTCCAGGACGTCGCTCAGCTTGAGGGCGCCGATGCGGAGCTCCTCGACGGCATCCCGCGGCTCCCTCATCGGCGGAGCGTCGTCGAGCGCGATGGAGAAGCCCTTCTCGGACGCGGGGCGGAGCGACTCGGAGGCGGGGGTGTTGACGGGGCCGTACCGGACGAGCTTCTGGTCAGTGCTGAGCGGCGCGTCGGGTTCGGTGGAGGTGACGAACGCATCGACGGGGACGGCGCCCGAGTCGTCGTTGCAGGAGGAGGGAGCGCGTCCGCGTGCGGGCTGCTGCAGCCTGGCGAAGAGCCGGTCGAAGCGAGCATCGGACTCGTCGAACCTCCTGTGGATCTCGTCGAGGAGGAACCGGATAGAAGGGGAGATCTCGGTAGGGGGATTCATGGTGCTAGACCGAGAATCGACTGTCTCTGATGCCAATTGTTAGCAGCACCCACTCTAGATGATAGAACACATATCGATCCAACACAATCACAATAAGCACATGTACTATGATCCCATACAATATGAGATAGAATCTGGGAGAAGGTAGCAAGCAGGGGAATCGATGCTAGGAGGAAGATCCTAGAAGGTTCTAGAAGGTACTGGAAGCAGGAAATCTAGATACAAGAGTGAGAGGCTTCGAAAGAAAGAATAACAGTAGAAGGTAGAATGAGATGGAAGTCTTCTGAATAATTCTTCGATGCCCTTCCTCTTGCCATCCTGGCCCTTTGTACTGGCTTGACCTTGTCTTTGCTTCTGTCTGATAGTCCAGCCCCACATGGCAGTCCATCCTACACATATCCCTGACACACATATATATATATACTCTTTATGTGCATATTACGCTCACTACGGATGGTTCATATTAGTCAAAACTGATTGTGTAGCATAAAAAACGGCTATATTATATTTTTATGTATTCGTCCATTCATATTATAATTTATTATACATGTGTCATTTGCCACAAATCATTAGAATTATTAAATGAAACATTCATACGTGAATCATGTCCGATGAAAGGGATTTATTTTTTTCTTTCCAAAAAATCGAACGACCAAAAAGGGAATATCGTAGTGTGCTGTACTAGCCTGTGTTTCGCATTGACTTCTTTTTACTTGTTTGGTTATTAAAAGAAATACCAGCTATGTCTTTGGGATGCTTATAATTTACTTGCATTTTCTTTTCTTTTTATTTTTTTATTAGGAAGGGGATCGGGCCGTTGACATAATTAGTGGGAGGATACCTCATCTTCCATACCTAATATCTTTGACTGTTCATGTTGATCCCTCGGATCTGCATTCATTTGGAGTTGGTCTATCAGACATCTAAAACAATCACTGTTGGAGACGGCCTCTTTGCCGAGGGCCTGAGGCCCTCGGCAAAGATCCATTAACCCTCGGCAAAGGCTTTGCAGAGGACGGCCCTCGGCAAAGAGCTCTCGAGGAATTTTGAGTCGGCGAAGAGGGTCTTTGCCGATGGCCCTTTATCGGGCACTCGACAAAGCCTTTGCCGAGGGTTGGAGCGGCACTCGGCAAAGAAAAGCAGCCGTCACGGCGCCGGCGCCTGGGACGGAGTCTTTGCCGAGGGCCATCTCCGGGGGCCCTCGGAAAAGAATTATTCATTTTTTTTAAAAAAAAATCTTTGCCGAGGGCCTCCAACCATGGCCCTCGGCAAGGAAATGTGCAGAATTTTTCCAAAAAAATCTTTGCCGAGGGCAATGGGACGACCCTCGGCAAAGAATTATTCTTTTTTTTTGAAAAATCTTTGCCGAGGGCTTCCACGTAGGCCCTCGGCAAAGAAATTTTATTTTTTTTAAAAAAAAAGTCTTTGCCGAGGGCCTCTAACCATGGCCATCGGCAAAGAAATGTTGCAGAAATTTTATTTTTTTTAAAAAAATCTTTGCCGAGGGCAATAGGACGGCCCTCGGCAAAGGGCTCTTCTTTGCCGAGGGCCTTGGTCATTGCCCTCGGCAAAGAGGCAGAAATTTAATTTTTTTTGTTTTTTGCATTCCATCGACACAAGCATTTCATATATATATATATATATATATATATATATATATCATACAGAACCTATTTTCTCACAATATATCACAACCATAATTGTGAACTACAAATCACAATATATTACAGCGACAAGTCACATGTTCATCATCATTCACATGTTTATTACGATAAGTTCATAAAATCCAAGCACAAGTCAGAACCATAAACCACAAATATTACAATAAAGGATGCGTTCGCTGGTCTGAAACTTGGCTGAAACTGACTGAAAAACACTGCTTCGACTAAATTGTTGTGAGAGAAAAACACTGTTCCGGCTGAAAAAAGAAGTCGAACAAGCTATTTTTTAAGACAAGCGAACGGGGCCAAAGTCCAACCACAGCACCTAGCACTGGTCTTCATCAAGGTAGCTTATGAGACGGTGGTGAAGGAAAGGCGGGATCACCCGGTGACGCACTACCAAATTGATTGGAACCCGCGGACGGAGACTGTATAAAAGAGCAGAGATTGCATGTGTGAGTAATCCAGGAAAACAGTTTTGGAACTTAGAGACTACATCTAGTAATCTAGGAATAAAAAAGATTAGACTCAATTGAAAATTTTGGCAGCACCTCCCCTGCACGGGGAGGTTTCCAAAACCTGTAAGAAACAACGGCACGAACGTCGACATCCACAACGGCACGAACGCCGACATCCACAACGGCACGAAGGCCGACATACATGCAAAGCACAAGCCAAAAGTGAACTTTCATACTTATAGGAGTAGTTGTAGGAGTAGGAGATGGAGGAGCTGAAAACTGCACAGGTACACCTGATGCTTGCCCAAGACTTTGCATGATCACCATCATCTCCGTCATCCGCTATCTCGCCTTGGCTGCCTCGAACGCGCAGCGACCTCTTTGGGCTCTGCATTTGTGCGGTTAGTTCCACGTTCGCTCTTGACTTTTGCTTTTTTTGTTTCTTGCAGCTCACAAACTGCAATATTTCACTCTAATGTATCAAGAATGCAAATCTAATTTAGGTGTATAAATATCAACGCATTTATGACAGTAAAATAGAAATTACCGGAGTGCCCGGACCGCTGCATCTTTGGAGAAGGCCGTGAGTGTATGGGGTAATGGCCGGAGCTCGTGCTCGTGCTCGGATAGCGTCAAGGAGGGACAATGGTGGAGTCGATAGCGCCGTCTCGCAATCCACACCGCCGTGCTTCTTGCCTCCTCCAAGCCTCATGATCGTCTCTGCATCAATGGGCTGGGCAAGCACATTGTAATCTTTCCTATAGATCTCCCTTACCGAGGACGTGTACTCTTGGACTTTAGTGTATACGTCGGGTCGGAGTACACTGGGCGGGCAGCCGGATCGAAGGAGGAGAGGAGGACGCCTCGCCCATATGGGACATAGCCCACGCAGAGAACTCCGAGACCTCCTCGCCGGCTCGGGTGCGCCCTCCGCGAGAAAGACGGGAAGATGGTGAGAAATCAAGGCAATTGAGCATCAAAATAAATGGAAAGAAATCATTTACGTATGCTTGTTTGTATCCGGGGAGGCTGCGGCTGCCTTGATGGTGAGTTGGATCTTGCCTCATCAGACGTTGTTCCCGCAGCCTCTTGTGCGTGCCAACAAAGTCCTGTGATAACCACTTGTCCACGATCATGACACAGCACTCGGGATACGATCGGCACCACCAAAGAATCACCTACAAGTCATCGAGTATTTGACATATAAGAAGATGAAATTGAACCTACTTAATATCAAAACGAATCATTATGAATGTTATTCGCCTACCTCACAAGGTATGGTCCCGGTCAGAATCGGCCTTGCTTGAGGCTTGGGGAGGGACTGCTTAAGTACCGACCTGTAGTAGTCTATGTGGGCTTAGATGCGCCCATGGTGGTGCATCTCGGTGACGTACTTCCTACAAGCTGCGGCAGCCACCCAATCCGCCTGGGCCTCAAGTCCTTCTTCGGCCTTGAAAATTTTCTGCATACAAAACCGATGTATCCATTCATTATTTCAATAAAATATTTAACCAATGAATGAGATATATTAAGCAATGTTGTGCGAGAGAAACTTACCCAAAACTCCACCAATACCCGCCTCCCGCTTGTTGCAAGAAGTGTCATCCGTGACTGGCCAGCACTGCCCCAGATTGGAGGCCGGCTCCCACCACCACCACTCTTCTGGACAGTTGCACAATGTCGGGTACCATTTCTGCACAAAACACCAAAGATACTGTGGGGTGCGTGGTTGAGTACCGACAAAACCAACCAGGCCCTACACAAGTGATTAAGAAAATTTATCAGTTTCTCTTATAATTTCCAAAATATCTTATGAAGTAGTTGTGATAACATGTATAGTTACTTACCTCTTTGCCATAGGCTGAATCACTGGGCGGTTGTGAGGAAGTGGAACCGGAGGGAGGCTCGTGGGACCTCGCTCGTAGGGAGTCCGGGTAGCAATACCCCTCTGTCGCCCTCGAGCCCCTCGCCTCCCTCACCCTCGAGCACCTCGCCTCCCTCGCCCTCGAGCGCCTCGCCTCCCTCGCCCATCTGCTGACCCCTCTCGTCCTCCGACGAGGATGTGGCTGTGGCCGTCACATGCTCCTCCTTCAGCACCTCGTCACGTGGTGAGGGAGGAGACCACTGCCCCTGGTCCTCCTCTCGTCACCTCCTACAGACGCTGCCCCGGACGACGACCCCACACCTCGAAGGAGAGGGCGGTCTCTCCCATAAACCGAGGGCGTGTCACGGCGTACGTCTGCTCGCCATCTTTGTTCAATCACCTACAATCACAAAGAATGAACAAGACTAATTAGTACATATATTAGAAATAGATTCAAAATATATAAACAAAACACAAATTAAAAAAAATATAGTATTACATGTATTAGGAATAATCTTTATGATTGGGATCATAGGTCTCATCATCACTATCAAAATTGTCCAAATGGGCAACACTATCCGAAGGTTCTATGTTGTCATCGTAGTCATTGCCTAGAAGTAATCGCTCAAGCATTGCTATGTCCTTGGCACTTACCACCACATCTCCATCGACCTCGCCATCAACCATTTCGTTGTCTACTTCCATTTCGATTGCTTCGGGTAAGACTATCTCAAACGTGCCTGGTAGCCCATCTTCTTGATAGAACTGTCCATCATACGTGTTTACATTGAAGTTGTAATCATCATCGTTTGGGGCAGGTAGTTTACCGTGTGGAGATACCTGGTGCACAATAGCCCAACCCTTAAGATCCTCTTTGTCTTGGTTGGCGTATCGAGTATAATACACCTGCACGGCCTGTTGAGCCACAATGTAGACATCTTTTCTAGGATAGATGGAATCTTCTCGAATCTCGACTAGCCCAAGATGAGGGGTTCGTCTTGTTGATCGAGGATTAAA